GCGTATTTATGCGTAGTATCAGTTTGCATTCAAAAATAGTCATGGAGTTATAAGGCTTAGGAGGAATGCACAAGACACCGAAATATACCCAAAAATACCGAAAAAATACCAAAAGTCAAGCCTCTGACTTTGGTAGCTCACATCTTGTGGACTTTTCATCCGATTTTCGAGTGGAATGCCTTGTTAGATGCGTATTTATGCGTAGTCTCAGTTTGCATTCAAAAATAGTCATGGAGTTATAAGGTTTAGGAGGTATGCACAAGACACCGAAATATACCCAAAAATACAGAAAAAAATTACTATTAGTCAAGCCTCTGGCTTTGGTAGTTCAAATAAAATCAAAATAAAAAGGAAAATACAATCAAAATCGAATTGGAAATGTGTGAGACAAGAGCGCCAAGCGCACAATATCTTCCAAATGGCGTAATCGCAATGCTGTCTCTCTCTCTCTCTCTGTCTCTCTCTACGTGAGACTTGTGATTGTTGAGGCGGCCTGAAAGAGGCAGCGTTAAGACTAGCTGTTGATTTAATGGGGTCGACTGCTATTTAACAAATTGTTTAACCTGCTCGCGTTTTCATTTGTAATGGGCAAATGGTCTGGCATTGAGCCACGTTGAGCACGCCGAGCGGAAGTTGATCGGTCAATTGTGAACGGTAAATAGCATTTGACACTTCACAAAGCATGTGCGGAAGTTAAACACAAACACACACACACACACATACAATACTTGTAGAAAATATCCAATTAGTGTCTGGGCAAATTATAATCATAACTGAAGCACTTAACAGCTTAACTCTTGTTTTCTCTTCTCTTTCCTCACTCAATTGACCTCCTCCCGCATTGTCGCTGGCCCGAGAGTGGCTCAGGTGTATCGGGTGTCAAGTGTCGCCAGTGGCATTGGCAGGTGGCAGGCGGGGGCAAACGTTGATTTGCTGCAATACGACGCCCTGGGAACGACGCTTAAAAGATTTCAATATTTTGAACAAAGCCTAACATACCTAGCATAGCCTGTGGAATGGGGGTAGAGCGGAAGGGTCTGTCAGTGTGAAGTATTGGCGAGAGAGTTGAGATAGCTTTGGAAGAGCAGGCTGAGTCAATTATAGATCACGGTTAATGTGCACTGAAAAAAATAATGATATATGTAGTGCTCATCTGGAATTTCTTATGTTGTATTGAAGTACTAGGAGAGACAGTTAGTGAGAGTTTGTGAGAGATAGAGAAAGAGTGTGTGAGAGAGAGAGTGAGAGAAAGTGAGAGAGGGTGTAAAAACATTATATTTTTCGAGATGGAGTACACCTAATAAGAAGTCTAAGTCGAGGCAAACGAGAGTTAATCTTAACTGAATACTTTTTTCTGTTCACTAGAGCTAAGGAATGTTGGGCTCTTTCTCTGGTATTTCTTATGTTGCATGACAATAAGTGTAAAGTCATTCGGATTAATAAAATCTTCCATAGATTTGCTTCTCTCATGAAAATTTCTTTAGTTCCGCCTTAATATACCCTGCATGGGAGCTGTAGAGGGCGAGCCGAGCAGTGAATAGTTAAAGTACTCTAGATCAGCTGCATTCGGAGCATTTAATGAAAGCTAAGCAATACTTTTATTTCTAAAGATCTGCCTGAAGGCCTTTCTTGTTCTGACTTTTAAGTTGTTATTTGGAATTAATTCTCTTAACAATTAAATAAATCCTATAAATCTATAAATGAAATTTCTTAAAACTATGTTAAGCATTTTTAAAAATTAGCCTGAAAGCTAAAGAGACATTTTAGTTTCTTAGGATTACCAAATTCTTTACTTAGTTTATTCAGACTTAACATTAATCAGCCCTGCCAAAAACTTCAAAGAGAGGTTTCAGCAGGCAGTTGCTAGAGAAGTTCGCTTGTGAACCTCTCAAAACAAACCCACGATTCAATGAAAATTTATATACCACATAGTTGCTGCCTTGGATTGGCTCTTTGAAATCAGATAAGCAAACGGAGTATTTCTGCCACACAGTTTCTTAATTGGCACACAATGCGATGGCGTTAAGCTCTATGTGTGGCTGAATGGATCGAACCAAAAATGAATATTTGGGGCGTGCATGATGATGTTGGCCGAAAATGCTTTCAATGAAGTCATTAAATTGATGTATTGGCCGCCAGTCGACTGGCCGCTGGGCCTGCTTAGCTTTCAGCTCTGTCTCGCTCGAGCCAATTATGAGGTTCCAAGAACTGCGTCTGGCTGCGACGAAATTCCAGCAAAATTTCTCTTTGCCTAGTCTGACTTTTTTCTTTAATTTTATATTATATTCCTTTTTTTTTTATAATAATTGAGCGATGTGATGTCATCTGGTTGTGACTGTGGGTGACATTTGATGACGGCGAATCGCACAAACAGAGATTCATGCATACAAATGAGAGTTGGAAACTGGAGCGATTACGGTCACGCATTGTGCCGCCTGTTTCCCAGTTCATTTGCCGCTAACGATAATGGGCGTCTTATCAATTGGCAAAAAAAAAAAAATGCGAGAGAAAGAAAGATTTGTAACGCATTTCATAATGCGGCCGTTGCTGCTGCTGCTCCAATGGGGCCAAATTATTTTTGGACTGACTGCCATAATGCGCATTACCCAATTTATATATGTATATATGTATATCGAGCAATAAATATAATGTCGAAATTGAGTCACCCAAACGATCGTTACCCCCGCCCTTGATAGCCCTCCCCCTCTCGACCGACTGCTTTGTATGCCGCCCAAGCGTTGCGGTCAACAACATTTGACGAGATCTGCCGAAACACTGTGGCATATCAATGAACTCGTCTTGCGATCAGCTGCAGACGCGTCTGCTCTCAATATTTTGTTTACGATATTGAAATTTCGAAATTTTCGTTAAGCGACTTTGCATTTTCATCAATCAAAAAAAGTATATATATGTATATTTTACGAGACATTCACGTACCCTTAGTATATACATATATTGGATATGTGACCAACTGTTTAGCATATTAATGAAGCCCGCTCGCAATCAGCTCAAGTTGCGGCTGCTTACAATACCAAAATTGCGTTATTGAAATTGATGTCAAATTCCAACAGACTTTGCATTTCTATCAATCAAAAGTTGTATAACGAAATAGTCACGTATAATATATATTAAAAATATAATAAAAACTGCACAAAACTGAGACCATTCATAATCTTTTCCTTTTCGAAATAAAGGAAGAAGAAGATCGGCTAAAATCACATTTGTTTCAGTTGCTTATAGAGAGACAGTCATAAAAATAGTAGAGCTGGATAATAAAAAATTATCAATTATTTTACTGATTAATATTTATAAAAATTGCATTTTTTTTCTGTACAGAAAAGAAATATTTAATTGTTAAGAATCAAGTCAAAATTTATAAACAAACCCAAGATTTATATATAAGATTATATTTACATATAACTTGTGTATATAATTATATTTTATTTATTTTTTATTTTAATTTTAATTTTATTATTATTTTTACTTTTATATTATTTTTATTTTATTATTATTTTTATTTTATTATTATTTTTGTTTTATTATTATTTTATTTTATTATTATTTTTATTTTATTATTATTTTTATTTTTTTTTTTTTTATATTATTATTTTTTTTTTTTTATTTTATTATATTTTTATTTTATTATTATTTCATTTTATTATTTCATTCATGCTGAGCTGCTTGGCATATGAATGAACTTGCAACTCGGTCAACTCGCACTTCTATAAATTTACGATAATTGAATTTTTAAATTTGGACAGCATTTTTATCAATCAAATATTAAATTATAAAAGTATTCACGTACTTAAAATTTAAAATATATATACACACACCTTTTATATATACAAATTGTTATGTACATATATGTATACAGATGAACTCATCCCTCAATCAGCTAATTTATGATATTGAAATGTGAAATTTTGTTAAAATACTTCCATCAATCAAAAAGTATATTACGCGATGCCCATATATTAATATATGCATATGCATATCGTTCGACTTTTGCATTTCTATCAATCAAGCTAAATTAAATCAAATCACATCGCA